AGGGAAAGACTACCGGAGAAGGAGATGAGAGGTGCTTATGGAGCTGATCTAAAACAATAACGTACAGCTATATTTCTGTCTTCCCACTTCTTATTTAAGGATCAGGTCCTACCTTTGAACTGTGAAGACTTCACAGCTGCTTTTTCATAAAAATGCTCATAAGACCTAATGAAACACTTCCAGTTTACTGGCCTGCCCCTTATCTATGGGTAGTTTACCGTTTGCATCTGGAAGTGGCTTGGGCTGTTGCTTTGCCACTTGGACTGCAAGTGTGTGGGAAAAGGGCTTAAATCAGCCTTCTAGAGAGGAACCTGCTGCCCTTGTTTTGTGCCCCATGGCACTTCAGAGCAGCAGCCTTTCAGTGAGTCAGTTAGCTAATAGGAAATCACACAGCCACAGCAAAGAAACAGAGCACCTCCGGAGATAGCAGGTCCCAAAGAACACGTCCCCAGTGTACTCCCTTCTGCCAAAGCAGAAAAACTGCAGGAGGAAAAACACCTATGGCTAGTTCTGCCTCTGCAAACACAGGCACAATTGTGTTAATATCAGAGGGACCTTGATGTCTAACCATAGCTTGCTCTCTCTTTTGCAGAGTTTACCTGTAGTCTCTGATAACATGACTAGGAAAAGCTGTTTTCTGTGCTTTAACAGCTCCATTCTCTAGAATTAACCATAACCTGAAGCCTACCTTTATTTGTAACACTCTCACCATATTGCCATGCTTTACTGTGCAAAGCTCATCACTGGTGGGTCTGCAAACCTCAATGATCAGATTTGTTTGGAGAGATCACAAAAACAAGCCCAACCCTGTAGAATCCAGCTGAGGAGTTAACACATGGCGGGTAAGGGAGTAAGTAGCACAGCAGGGGAAGTAAGTCAAATCTATCACTCTGGGGGAATGCATGCTTTTAGGAAACACCTCTGCTGAGAGACCTGACGCGTTTTAGCTGTTTCTGATGTAGCAACTCTGCCCCAATGTCTGAATGCTTTGGAGTTTGCTTATCATCAGACTGAAGATAGTGTGCTTTCAGCAGGCAACATTGCCCCTGTGTTTGTCTGGTCTGTATCCTAGTGGTGGTATCTGTTCTCCAGTCTTTAACTTCTCAGTTGTTTGGGGCTTAGAGTGGAGTATTCAACCATGGCTTGGGTTCCTCAGCCCCAGTGTACTACTATTACTGCTAAGCAAATGATGTATTACCACTGTGATGGTCACTATGGGTGTAAGGAAATTTTATCTTCATCTATGTGAAGACAGCAGCAGGTAGAGGCTGAGTTTACAGTATTCTTTCTGGGTTGCTCTCGTCCTCCTTGTTTTCCCATTGCAGTTATGCCTACCTATCTGAGGGCTGTCACAGTACAGGGTTGCTCTCTTTTCCCTCCATCCCTGGCCATCAGTTCTTGTGTTTTCCTTTATATGGGTTCTCATCTGACCTCACAGAAAGCTGGACCAGGCAGTTTAGGTTTCTGAACTGGATCTTGCACAAGTGTCAAAGTCAGTGAGGGAGAAGGAAACATGCAGTCAAGGATTGGTGAGGTGTGGGATGGTTCACTTGGGAAGCACTTAGGCTTAGATTGGCCAGAATTTGGTGAGAAAGTGTACCCTTATGCAGCATGGTATTCACTTTTTTGCCAGGTTGGTGTGATTTCAGGCTTAGACCTGAAAAACGGCAGAGCCGGTAAGAGACAGAGAGTAGCCAGTGTTAGTGTGGTTCCACAACAGTCTAAGCAAGATGTCTTGCTCCCTTCTGAACAACCCAAGGGCAGTTAGTTGTTAAATGTTCCTCTCTCCTTTGCTTAGTCTGCACTGACAGACTAAGTGCAGGCAGCCTGTGCAGCTCAATTAACCAAGCAGCTGCACACACTCTTAAGCGCTCTGCTGGCCCACCTGCAGCTTTGTGGTGCTATCTTATTAAAAATTCTTCACCTAGGGAAAGGAGGAACAGCGTACCTACATCTGCATAGAGCAGCATGGCTCCTTGGGAGCTGAGTGCAGCTGAGATCATAAGCTGGTCTCCTGCTTTGCTCTACCCCCATGGACAAACTATGTCACTTCTCTGTGCAAGGTTCACCAAGCGATGGATGTTCTCATAGCTGTGCTATGTGTCTTTTGGCCTCACAAGGTGAAGTCATATGTGGCAACACCAGTTTAAAGTGTTACTGTCTCATGTCTGCTCAGTCTGCCGCTGCCTTGTGTTACTATTTTTGTACCGTAGCTACTCCTTTCCTGGTGCCACAGCACCTATTTGTATGGCCACCCTATTCATGAACTCAAGAAATAGGTCCACTTTAAGCAAAGTTTCTTTCCACATTACATTTAACCTTTTCCTGATCTGCAAAGCAGTGCAGATCACTGTGGCACAAGCAATGTCAGCAAGTGAGCAGAGGGAGAAGCGGGAAGCAGAGAAAGAGCAATAATATTAAAAATTCCTATTGTCACCAAAGACTTTGCACTGGGAAATCATCGTGCGGACGTCTAACCGGGAATGGCTGAAACGGTTACTATCTCCCAGCAGTCTTCTTTGCTTCTCTTGTATATCAAGGTACTCTAAAATCAGATGTGGTTTAACTGAGTATACCAGGCTATAAGGGGGGATCCGCAAATTCTGAGATAGGGGCACCTTGCTGAGGGCAAAAGCAGATTCAGCCATCTAATTGGAATTAGCTGTGTTTGTAAGTCAGCACCCAAAGACTTTACAGTAGGATTTGATTCTTCAGTAACTTTCTGTTAACCTAGAGTTATTCCGGTTATAAAAATTTGGCTAGGAAAAGGTTTAGTGCTGTATTTGTTTACAGTTATGTATCAGCTAGGAACAGATAAAACTTTTCATCTCTTACGTATGTAAAGTTTGAAGTATGCTAAATGCAAGGAGGAAGAAAGATCGGCCTTTAGAAAACTGAGGAAAACTTTCAAACGTTTGGAGGGTTGAGACAATGCTTTAAAAAAAACATGAGTGACAGTGGAACAAGGCTGGCTTATATGTAATTTTTAATGAGAAACTGAGTTTTTAGCTAAATGATATTTTGATAGAAAATATTTATTTTCTTTTTTTAAAAAACTTTATGTTGATTCATGTTACTAATGGATTTGGGTGTACTTTTGTTGCTGAGTTGGTTACTTGGAGGGCATTTGTTTTAAAAGCAAAATTCTATTCTTTGACCAATTTTACTAGACTTGCAGTAAGATCTGTATTCCTTCTGTGACTTTGAAAGCAGTGGGATTTGGGTTTCCAAATGCTTTTTGCCCCCCTCTTTCCATTTAAAAGAGACCATCAGAGACTGACTGTTCTTAAACAGTGAAATTTAGACTCCTCATAGTCAGTGTCCTAAAACTTTTCCTAAATTCCTCCTGTCTTTTGCCTGAAAAAAGACTTCAAGTATTACATAGCTCTGAGAATTTTTTAAAGCTGTGTCTCAGTGGAATGATGAGATCCTTAATTCAGGAAACTCTAACTCAGTAAGAAAGGCAGTTTATTAGTTGGCTTGTCGGTACAAAATGTTCAGGTAACTCTGACTAACTCCCTCAGTCCTGTTCTGGCACGTACAGGGCGCAGTGGAAAACCTGACAAAGATCTTGTGGAGGTGCCTCTGTTTTGAATATTTCAAAGACATGGTTAGGTACATTCATCTCTTCTCTTTGTGTTTGTGCTATTCACACCTAACAACTATGAAGAAAAATATATTTGGAAGTCTATGAATGATTCTTAGGTTTAAAAATGGTTCTCTTCAAATTCCTCTCTCTCTACTCTTGAACATTTGCAACTCGTGCACACTTTCAGAGAACATCAGAAAAAATAAAAATCATATGACTGACATTACTCAACATCCGGATATTTCCATCTTAGAGATTCTGCTCTAGAAACAGATATCTTTCTAGCCAGCTGTCTTCTAGCTTCTTTAAGAGAATATGTGCCTACTGTTCAAGATAAAAATATAATCTTAAGAGGTGGTGTCTGTATATTAAAAACAAGGATTCTAACGACCAACTATTTGAATACTTTTCATGTCATGCTGCTATATAACTTTTTATTATTATGGTAAGAGTGCTGCTTGGTATACTGAGTAACGGAAAATGGGAGGCTAAAATTGTACAGCATATATTTCAGTCTTTGGTCAGCCTTTCAGTTATATCATCCTAATTACAGTTCCAGTTCTCAGCTCTTATTTATTTTTATAAGCATCTTATAAATCATGTTCCTACTGTACTTTTTCATTTGGATACGGATGTTAGAAGGGAACTGGTTATGTTGAAAGGTCATCATCCTAAACTTTTCTTTGCTACATAAGACATAACTTTAAAGGCTTTGTCTTTGTCATTCACTCAGTATAGACAAGACAGGTTAGCAGTGTAAGGTATACATATAAATACACTTCCTGCCTCACAAAGTTTACAATCAAAATAATAAACACAAGGAAAATGAGACCTACTCAGAAGTACAGGAAAGAATTGCCTCTGTTTTTTCTCTACTACTTGATAGGTAATTTCTGAACTGAAAATGAAGTTAGCTGTTTGCGCTTTCAGTTCTTTTGTGAGATAAAGCAAAGTATGCCCAGGATGTGATTGAAGACATTAAATGGCTTCCTGACAGAACAAATCATTGCCCTTCATAGCCCCTACACTGAATAGTCATTGCAGCAGGTGAAAAGCCTTGTGTCTTTGGCATATTGGATACCTTCAATTAAAGCATTTTTCTGAAGATGCTGCACCTCTGTAAAATCTGCCAAGTTACAAAACTACATTAGCAGCAATTATTCTATTTCTTCTTATTCCTGGAACATTAGTAACATGGGCTCTTTTGTAATTGAATAAGGAACATATTAAGAATTCAAGAACTTTTTTCCTAAAAGCAGCAAGTTGTACTTGATTAAATAATGACAACTTTTCATATTAAAGAGATGCAGAAACACATACCTTGACAGCAAATACACCACTGAGCAGGTACAAATGAGCGAAGGGCAATACTTCCTAGTGAACAGCCAAGCCGTTTCTGTTGTATGAGTGAGTGTAACTCCTGGTTTTCTGCCACTCCCTGAAGAGAAGAGACTCATCCCCCTGTTGATGACATCATATTCCTGGATTTCTCTCTTAGTGTGATTTGTTTCAAAAGCAAAGTTTGTCTGCTGTATCCAGTATAAGATCACTGATACTTGACTATAGATGATAAACAATACAAATCAAGCTAAAATATTAATGTGCCACAGTGTGTGTATAAACAATTGTGTGTTTGCACAAGAGCTTTCAGAAACATATGGACAGACTCGCACAGAATCCTGATTCTCATTTTGGTGATGGTATTTTTTTACTGTTGTTGAACATTATCAAAAGTTAGGCGAGTCAGCTTCTTGCAGGACTTGGATCTTTAAAACAGGGCAGATCAAATCTCTCTTTCACGGTCTTAAATACTTGTCTTTCACGTGAGAAATCTACTGTTTGTATTTCTGCAAGACAGAGAATGTTGCTCTTCCTCAGCAGAAATCTCTGTCTTCTCAGTCTGTTGAGAACTAGCACAAGTTTCAGGTACTACTTAAATAACACCAAAGTTTCTCCAAGGTCTTGGACCAGATACCTGTACAAAACAGAATTATACCCAAAGAATAGAACCATTTTTCATCTACAATAACTTTTACTTCTGGATTTGAGAAAATAGCAAACAGAGAACTCATTTTACACTGTTCAAACAGGAAATATCACTGTTTTTCCTCTAATATTTATGCAATTAAACTGAAATCTGAAATGGCAGTCATGGTTGCAGCAACAACTCACACAAGGAATACATCTGCATTCAAAGGAGAAATGAATAGAGAACAGACTCTCCTCTCAGATACACACACAAAATACTAATTCTGAAAATAAAAGATGCAAGAAAACATCTGGAGCTATTCATGTTATAAATGCTGTATGTTGTGATCAGTGGTGTCTACCAGAAAAAGTATTTGGCCCCTGCTTTCCGTTGGTTCTTCGTTTGTAATTTTAGAGCAATGTTTTCACTTTCAGCTTTCTCAATAGGCCTAATTACTTTGCTTTCCAGTCATTTTCCTTTTCTTTTTCTGAAACTATTGTAATAGCTGCTCAGCATATATTATTTCTTTACTGTTACTGTTTAAATCATTGGTCCTAATGCTTTTCTTTGTCTTTCAGTTTATTTTTTTTAAAATCCTTCTGTACCTGAATAAAACCTAGTGTGCTGGCAACATTTTAGGACTATCCCTGGCATTTCTTCTGTGTTTGAACATGGATCTAGTCCAAGCGTTAACACAATTTTGCAAAATTCTGCTTTAATTTTTAAATGTCTTTTACTTATTTGTATGACAGATTCTGCTAACTCCTTTGTGGAAGGGTGATAAGACCTAGCTCTAGTGTGATCTACTCAATTAAGCCTAAGGAATGCAAACAACTTCTCAAAGAGCGGTTGAGGAGTGTTGTACAGTCTTTTCAGGGTGCTGCAGTAGGTACTGCAAGTAGGTAACCTGCTCTGGATGCTTGTTGCTGAAAGGGGTCACAGTCACATGAATGTATGTGGTTGCCTCCAGAGCTAAAGCTCTCCTCTAAAGAGAGCTTCACCCTACAAAGGGGGAACCCTTACTGCAAGGATGTGAGGCGAGTAGTAAATGCAAAAGTCAGACTTCATCTGCAGTTCAATTATCCAGTTATTTATAATATTTCATTCAATATTCTCTTCAAATTTAAGTATCAAGGTGATAAAACATACGACCTTCAATGTTTTAGCATAAAGCTGAAATAGCTTGAACTCAAATAAATGAGTGAAATTTCCCATTTTCTCCCCTACCGTATTCGTGTTTTAGAGGTAACTCTTATCTGGATGGCTGCAGGAGGTCACAGCTGAGAGCCATAATATTTAATCAGGAGAGCTTTAATCACTTTGAGCTAGTTTATCTGGGAGAATTCCTGCTCAGTTAACATTTCCCCAGGAAGCTGGCAGAGAATACATCTGAATATTGGGCTCTATTAATTCAGGACAACAACAAGTGAGTGAAGAGTAAACAGGGAAAGTGGTTGCCTCGGTAATTATTCAGGGCTGTTCTTCCTCTAGTACTTACTGGGGGAGAAATCTTGCCTAGTAATATTGCTGATTAATTGTTGACCTTTTGCAAGTTTGTTTTGTTTTTTTCCCACCTTACTCAGAGTTATGGCTGTCTTTGCATCCCCGGTTTGAGAAAAAGGAGGAGGTCAGTAGTCCTCTGAGGTTTCTGAGGAGGAGCTACAACCGTGAATGCTAATATTTGAGCAGGAATCCCCCTTTGAATTGAGCTGGCCTTTATGTTCTTGACTATGCAAGTAAGAGAAGCTATGGTCAGATGCAGAACATCTGCTCCAGCAGATCTTGGAGTATCAGTGTACATATGTGTGTGCACACTGCACCAGTTAGATTCCTGGTGAAGGTTTTACTTGGAGCTGAGTCTAGGCATCCAGTTTCCCTTCTAGGCTTAGCCTTTTGCCCAAGACTTAATCGTTAAAATCAGTGACTGAAGCGATATGGGTATCTGCTGTTCATAGGACACTGATTAAGTTCCTTTTCTTTGTCCTGGACTGAGTCTAAACTTCTTAAATGAACTGTATTTGGACAGCAATTTGCGAGTAGTGAGGTTTTATGTATCATCTTTGTGTACGAGCTGCTTGGTATGCCTTCTAGTGCAACCAACCACCTCTTTTTGTCAAGTACATTTTTCTGGAATGATAAGAACAGTTTTTTGTCTTTTATGTGTTTCTGGCTACTCGAAAAAAAGCGTGTTCTATTTATTTTAAAACCTTATTCTTTAATCCATGTAGACATACTCTTTCCTTTAAAGAAATTTAATATTTTGGGGGGGAGGAGGAAGGGGGAGGGTTAACTTAATCAATGTTCAGAGGAAGGTGTATAAGTTTCTGAAGGTCTGTACACCTGCCCTTGTTTTAAAAGCCTTCTAATCAGATGAAAGGTGACTGCAGGTGCACAGAATATCAACAGAGAAACAAAGATAATGCTGCTGGAAGTGTTTGCAGCTTACTTACCAGAGAAAAACCCTTTTGTTTTAAAACTGGATCGTCTATATGTGGTATCATACAGGTACACAATCAGAATTAGACCTCCTCTGTGCTGTGAGAAGGGCAGCATTCATTTTTGGAAGTAGTGGAATGAATCTCAAACTCCCTCTCTGTGAGTATATACAGAGGAAAGGTTAGTTCCATAAAGGCACTCCATGCTCTTTTACCTTAAGTCCATAAAGGCGCTCCATGGTGCTCTTTTAACAGTAAAACTATTCTCGGTTGAATAGGCAGGGACTGAACCTGCAGTGGATGAGCCCAAGCAAATGAAACCTGATTGAACCAAGGAGGCAAGGGATCCTGCTTTTCCATATCTCTTATAAGTCCGTGCATGCTGTAACAGGCAATGCTGTTGGAACGAGAACATCTACCTTTAAGATGCAGAAGTAGCATGTTTTGCCTATCCGATAGGGAATTCAGTTTGTCTGGGATTTGTCTGTCTGGAGGGAATATGGTCGTGACTGTAACTGTTGGCCCTGCC